ACCATAAAAAGAAATCAATTTTATGAAAGTTATTCACCTGAAATATTTCCATGCACAAAACTCTTCTGTTTGCTGCACAGCCCTAATCCAGGCAAACCAATCAATCCATTAACACCCCATTCTTCAGAACCCTGCACGTTATCCATATCATTCTCACTCTAGATCATATATGAGTTGGTCAATCATTAAGCTATAAATAGGTATTCCGGTGTAGAGGAAAACTCAACTTCTGAATAGCAAACCGGAAAGGAGGTAAGAAATTACATCAAAAGTCACTAGCAACCCAAGAATTTCACCCAAGAAACTTAAATTCTATAACATGATATTCAGACGTCTAAATTGAAAACAGGAAAAAAATACCAGCACGGAATAGGTAGTCTTAACATTGAATAATCATATTGAATTCAGGAAGATAAAGAAGCAGTGTTTGGCAACTCTAGCTTGGTCACAACAGAGCCCAGCTGGATGGACGAATTCAGCTTCTAGATGAAGAAGCCTCTAGAAGAAAATGCACATGCTGAAATTTGTTTTTCAGTTATTTTGTACAGCTATTATTTGGCGACTTGTGTAGAATTAGTTGGATTAGATTCTTTCCTTGCTTATAAATAGTTGAACTATTGTACAGATAAAGGTGTGAGAAAACGATCTTGAATACAAATTGATATTCTTCTCCAAACAATTTTGTTCTTTATATATGTTTTTCTAATATGGTATCAGAGCTTTCAATGGCTGATTCAAATGATTCAGAAGAATCAAATGCTGCTCAAACTAGATATACATATTCTGATCCTTCACATCCAAATAGTCCCTTCTACATTGGGGGAAATGATAACTCTGGGTCCTTGCTCGCTTCTCATGTCTTGGATTCAAACAATTATCATGCCTGGGCAAGATCCATGAAACGTGCACTAAGAATTAAAAATAAACTTGGTTTCATTGACGGAGGCATATCTGAACCCGTTTCAGCAGACAGTCCCCTCATGTAGCATTGGCTTAGATGCAATGACATAGTCATCACTTGGTTACAAAACACCATGGCACCTGACATCAAATGTAGCACTCTGAATGCTGATACAGCCCATCAGTTATGGAATGAGCTTGAGCAAAGGTTTGCCCAACAGAATGTGCCAAGAGTCTTTGAGATCAAACAGAACATTGCCAACCTGATGCAAAATCAGGATAGTGTCAGTATGTATTTTTCGAAGCTGAAAACCTTCTTAGATGAATTGATGAATTATGAATCTATCCCTAGTTGTTCTTGTGGAGGATTGAAAGATGTGATAAGTAACCAACAGAGAGATTCGGTTATGAAATTCCTAATGGGGCTTAATGATTCCTATAAAGGCTTGAAGGCGCAAATTCTTCTCATCAAACTATTCCCAAGTCTGAATGAGGTATATGCTATTATCCAGCAACAAGAAAAGAGGTGGGAGATATCTTTTGACAGTCCATCTAATGATACTATGGCTATGTTAGCAAAAAGAAACTTTAATTCTGGAAAATCATATCAAGGAATTCATAAGAAAGAAAATTATTATTGTAGTTTCTGTAAGATGTCTGGCCATTCTCTTGAGCGATGTTACAAAGCCAACAAGTTACCATGTTCCCACTGTCAAATGCCTGGACACTCAGTAGACAAATGTTACAAATTACATGGATATCCTCCTGGACACAAGTTTGAAGGGAAAGGCAAACCGACCACATCTTATGCCAACCAAGTTACTGCTCTTATGCCTCTTAATCAGGAGCAAGTCAATGATAATCCACAGTTTTCCTTAACACAGGAGCAATATTCTCAACTGATGTCAATGCTCAAAACACAGGAGCGTCCAGCTTCCACCAGTCATACTAGCATTCCCTCCACTGGTGGTATCTTGCCAACAGTGTCTGGTATTTCCCTTGGTTTATCAGCATATAATACTAAATGTCATAATATTTATGTTATTCCTTGGATATTAGATACAGGGGCAACAGATCATATGATCTGTTCCACCTCCTTTTTCACCTCAAATCCTACACCTGTCACAAGTTCAGTAACTTTGCCAAATGGAGAAATGGTTTCGGTTAGTCACATTGGCACCGTTAAATTCACAGATACTATCATCCTTGAAAATGTTTTATGTGTTCCTTCCTTTTCCTTTAATCTCATTTCAGCTAGAAAGATGACACAGAATTTAAGATGTTGCCTTATTTTCCTCTCTGAAACTTGCTTCATTCAGGACCTTGTGACTTGGACAATGACTGGAATGGGTGAGGTGCAGCATGGACTGTATCATTTACTGCAAAAGAAAGTATCCCCTTCAGCCTTGACAGACATCCTTGCTCCTGTTACTGCAAAACTACCTGCTGCTGCTTCAGTTATTAATCATTCCAATAAATTTGATCTGTAGCACTATAGATTAGGTCACTCGTCATATCCCAACTTTCATTTAACTGGTTACATTTCCAGTTCAAAATCTGCTATGAATAAGAAACAATGTTTAGTTTGTCCTTTAGTGAAGTTACACAAAATTCCTTTTCCTTCTAGTCAACACAAATCACAAAAGTGTTTTGATCTTGTGCATTGTGATTTATGGGGACCATTCAATGAAGTTAGCCATGATAATTCAAGATATTTTCTGACTATTGTTGATGATTATAGCCGATGCACTTGGGTTTATCTTTTGAAACACAAATCTGGTACCTCAAATGCCATTCACAATTTTTACAACATGATAGAAACACAATTTAACACCAAAATCAAAATAATTCATAGTGACAATGGTGCTGAATTTAACATGATAGAATTTTACTCATCAAAAGGCATCATACATCAAAAATCTTGCGTGGAAACTCTAGAAAAAATGCAATTGTTGAAAGAAAGCATCAACATATTCTAAATGTTGCTAGAGCTCTCAAATTTCAGAGTGGAATTCCATTAAAATTTTGGAATGATTGTGTTCTCACAGTTGTCTATCTTATAAATAGAACTCCTTCTCCTCTCCTTAATCACAAAACACCATTTGAATTGTTGTTTCAAACTCAACCTTCATACTCCCATCTTCGAGTTTTTGGATGCTTGGCTTTCGCCACCACTCTTGTTCATGGCAGGCACAAATTTGATCCCAGGGCACATCGGTGTGTTTTTCTTGGATATCCCTTTGGAATCAAAGGGTACAAACTCCTTGACTTAGAAACCAACAAGTTTTTCATATCTCGAAATGTCGTTTTCCATGAAAATATTTTTCCTTACAAAGAACCTCCTACCACTACATCAAATCTTCCTCCAATCATTTCTCAACCTGTCTTCAAATTTACAAATTCTAGCAACACACACACTGATGAAAATACAGATGCACCAGCTCTTTTACCTTTTAATAACATCACAACAAACGACCATGAACCACATTCATTATCCCAAGAAATTTCCTCATATGAGAATGCTACTTTACCAACCATAGAACCACAATATACACCTGGTCTACGCAGATCCACCAGAGTCAAAAGATTACCTATTCATTTGCAGGAATTTGTCTGTCAAGCTAGCTCACCTCCTCACATCCAGGACTTAACCAAGCAGCAGGTCACACCCTCTCCAGGAAAAGCTTTTCCTTTAGAAGATGCTATTTCCTATCATAAACTTTCACCTCCACACAAAGCTTTCACAGTTGCCATCACTGCACATACAGAGCCTAAAACTTTTGAAAAAGCCATACAATCATCTGAATGGTATAGTGCTATGAAAGCTGAAATTGATGCTCTTGAGTTAAATAAAACTTGGGAAATTGTTGACTTGCCACCTGGTAAGGATGTTGTAGGGTGTAAATGGGTATATAGAATCAAATTCCTTGCCGATGGAACCATTGAAAGATACAAAGCCAGATTAGTGGCAAAGGGATATACACAGCAGGAAGGTTTAGATTACCACGACACATTTTCACCTGTTGCTAAACTTGTGACAGTTCAAACCTTATTAGCAATTGCAGCCATTAAAGGTTGGCATTTATGCCAATTTGATGTCAATAACGCATTTCTACATGGGGACTTGGATGAAGAAGTATATATGCAATTACCACAAGGCTATCCGACTATTAACAGCTCAAGTAATGGCAGAAAAGTTTGCAAGTTACACAAAAGCTTGTATGGCCTTAAACAAGCTTCATGTCAATGTACTCTAAGCTCTCAAGTTTCATCATAGACCAAGGTTTTACACAGTCTAAAGCTGATTATAGCTTATTCACAAAATCTACTTCACATTCTTTCACAGCCTTACTTGTCTATGTAGATGATATAATTGTTGCTAGCAATTGCTTGGACATCACTAACGGTTTAAAATCCTCTTTTCATGATAAGTTCAGAATTAAAGACCTTGGAAAGTTAAAGTATTTTCTTGGCCTTGAAGTGGCCAAATCTTATCGTGGTATTCATATTTGCCAGTGAAAATATGCATTAGATATCCTGACAGATTCTGGTAAAATTGGATCCACACCAACCAAAATCCCATTAGACCAAAATCTGAAATTATCTAAAAGTCATGGCGAAATTCTTGTTGATCCCTCAATTTACAGAATATTGATTGGGAGATTACTATATAAAACAATTACTAGACCTGATCTTTCCTATCCGGTGCAACTGCTCAGCCAGTTTATGGACTCTCCTCGGATTCCACATCTTAATGCAGCTCATAAGGTTCTTCGATACATTAAGCGTTCACCAGGGCAGGGCCTTTTCTATCCTTCCAACTCTATCTTACAACTAGAAGGTTTTTGTGACTCTGATTGGGGGGCATGCCCTGATATGAGGCGATCAATCACATGATATTGTGTTTTCATAGGAAAATCCTTGGTGTCTTGGAAGTCTAAGAAACAAGGAACAATCTCCAGATCCTTTGTTGAAGCGGAATATAGAGCAATGGCAAATTTATGCTGTGAATTGACTTGGATGCGATTTTTGCTTCGAGACTTAAGGATTGAACATCCTCATGCTTTATATTGCGACAATAGAGCTGCCATCTACATTACATCAAATCCAGTATTTCATGAGAGAACCAAGCACATTGAGCTTGATTACCATCTCATTTGGGACAAAATTCAAGAAGGGAGCATAACCACCAAGCATGTTAATAGTGAGTCACAAGTAGCAGATTTATTAACCAAAGCTCTATGCT